GTTACTGTTTGCATTAGGCCTGCGTGCTTCTCTTGCTGTTTTGTAAAGAAGTTGATCTACTTGTGTGGTGTTAAAGGATGCATTGTCTTGTTTTTAACAACATAAATGATAACATCATGCTTAAAGGAATTTTTAAAAAATGGTTTGCTTTTCACAGCAGCCTTCTCCCTACCCTTCCCTTTCTCTCTTCTGCATGCACACGGACTCATTTTATCTTTTAACATTTTTCAAGCCTTGGCTTGCATTATATGCATGGCCCTGAGGATACAGCCATTTCTGAAAACGTTTTGTCTCTACACTTAACACGCTCATTTAGGTATTGGCATGACTAGACCTGCTTTCACAACTCTTCTTTTTCTCTGAATAGTTCCACCAGTGGTATAGAGGTGGGGGCTGTAGTGTGGACTAGCTAACAGTAAGTGCCAGAGTTTTAACTACTATCATCTAGGACTGCCCTGACCACAGTCGGGTGACACAGCCATTAGGAGGCCAGTGCCTTGTCTGTACTAGGGGTGTTCAGCTCGCAGGCCAGATCTGGCTCCCGGCACAGGATCATCTGGCTTGCAGGGCACTGTGTGTGTCTGAAAATTTCTGAACCTGTGGAGAGTCCTGTGGGTTAAATAGTGTGGCCCTGTGAATTGGATTGGTCACACAAGGTGCAACATGAGGCCCCATCCGGGCATATTGACCAGCCTGCAGGACTGAAGATTGAGCACCACTGGCCTGTACTATTCCTGCCATCTTATGGAGCTGTGGTATTGGAAATTTTGGGAGAAAAGCTGATTTTGTGCATTGCACTAGACTAACTACAAAATACTGTCTGTAGCACTGGTTCTTAACTTATTTGGGCTTGAGGCACCCTCCGTAACTTCTGTGAATTGAGTAGCACTCCATTTCAGCAGCTAATATATATTACAGCGCTTACCTCTTTGCTGAGGGGCTGGGTAAGGCAACAGAGAGGAGCCTGAACCTGCATTTAGCTCCTCACACCTGCTTATCTGCTCACAACTGAGCACCCCTGAATGAACAGCTGTTGTAACTTGCCCTAAACATGTTGTTTTCCTTTGTGGCACTTGAAGTGTAATTTATTAGTTGTACTGGACACAGTTTTCAAAGCATGTAGTATCTGAGGAAATGGACTTCATGGACAGCTCAATTCTAAAGTCTTTGCCACCAATACCATAAGGGGAGGAAGAGTTAGTGGTAAGGGAATCAAAGAGAGTAGAAACTGAAGAAACAGACTGGCAGTTTGTGACCAGAAAGGGGAAAGAGAACCAGGGGAAAGAAGTATTAAAGCAGTATCTACTACTTAACAAATTAACTAATCAGGAAGCCTGTCAATTGGAGAGCAAAAGACAAAGGTACAGGGGGACATACTTCATGGGTATCTTTGAGGTATGAAGTAGGCACCTACCAAGAGAGGTTCTTCCTACATCCTAAGTAGGAAAACAGTTGTTATTGCTAACTCCATATGAAGAAGAGTGACCAGGAAATTCAGCAAAGGGTATAAGGACAGTGAGATGAAATCTACCTAGAGCAAAAATTCAAGAGGTAGGAGCAAAATTGATTGGCATTATATCATCATCATCTGGCAGATCTTTTACTCTTGGTGTTGTGCATTGGAACAAATAATATGGCATCATGTAGAACGCCAGAAATTTATATAAGACCTCAGAGATATTGGAAGAGAGCTAAAGAGGAGGGAGTCCAGAGGCTCTGAGGAGAGAGTCCAGAAGTATCTCTGAGATGCTTTCTATCCCTTGAGGGACGAAAGACTGAAGATATTGGGCCTAAATAATTGGCAGTGTGCTTGGTGATAAGCTGAAAATTTTGACTTTGTGAGATGCTGGGCTGCGTTCTGGGGGGGGAGAGAGGATTGTAACAATGGGATGGTATGTCTGGATGCTAATCTTCTTTGGGGATCAGATGGAGCAGCCAGGAGGATGTTAAATTATAAGCAGTATAAGAGGTTAAGAAATGAAATTGTAGTATGAACTCAAATCCTCTCCCTCACAATCAAATTGAACAGAGACGTCAAAGTATGTGAAGAGAACAACATGCTTAGTTATAGATCTCTCTCTCCCCCTCCCCCCCAGGAATTTGGGTAACAAGTCAAATGAATTGGGAATTCTAGCTGAAGGCAAACATGACAAAATGTGTATTAATACAAATTATCCCAATTTTTATGGTGGGGATTTTCATGCTTTTGATTTGAATAATTTAGGAAGCAAGAAAGGTGCATGGAGGGGCAGAGGGTAGCACAGTAAATCAAAGATGACATTCCCTATTTTATTCTCGATGGAGTCACAGAAATGCATTGTAGAGCAGAGTACAGAGCTGCCCAAGTGAAGTAAAACTGAAATTAACCTGACTAATTTGGGTACTGGTAACAATTTTAGCTGCAGCTGCATGGAGCTTGGCACAGGTTCGTATGCTCTGCGGCTTGGCAGATTGCTGTGACTTAGTGCAGGCTCATAGGAGAGTATGAACTCAGAACTGCAGAGCCTTTGAGTGCATATACACTAACATTCTCAAGTTAGGAGGGGACACGTGGTTAGTTACAGAGCTCTGAATCAAATTAGAGGGTAGGATGAGATACTCCTTGAGCACCTGTTTTGTATTGTATAAAATAAAACCCTTCTATCTTGTGAGCTTTCAAATTTGAGAGATGTATGCTGGCAATTTAATGTAGCCAGAAATAAAACGTTATTTCTTAAATTGATTTTTCTGACCCAAAAGGTCAGTGTCAAGTTATACTTGCTTTCAACCTCATTCTAATGTATAAAATCCAGTTAATCACTGAAATAGAAGCTGGTGGTTGTCTAGGCACCAGTGATCATGACCTGATTACAATATCAATAAAAATTGATATACCATATCAATGCAAATGCACATTCAATGGATTGCAAAATAACTTACAGGCAGTCCCAAAATAATTGTCAGTGAGGACTCCTCATCTAGTGGAGGATGTTTTTGATGGGGTTTTCAGGGATCAGCAGTGCTAAGATCAATGCTGTTCAACATTATAACTAGTGATTTTGAAGCAAAATCAGTGCTAATGTGCACTCTATGAATAATGCAAGAATTGGAAAAATTTTCAGGATGGGGTGATTGTTGAATCCTAAAAATGTAGGGCTTGAAGGGACCTCAGGCAGTCATGTAATCGACCCCCTGCTTGTGTCAGGATTCTCCTAGTCAAAACCAAGTGTCCCTGTCTAAAGTCAAACTGTCTCTCTAACCTGCTCTTCAAAACCTTCCAGGATTGGAGATTCCACATTGTCTGAGTAGCCAGTCCCAGTGCCTAGCCACCCTCATAATAAGGTGGTTCTTTCTATAATAATATATATATAATATTAAAATTATTTGTGGGGGCTGAGCCCAGATACACATGCATGCATGTACACCCCCCCACCTCCTCCAGCACATAAGTCTGTCGGGGAGGGGAAAGGGCCATTG